AGATATGTCTTTATCAATCATTTGGTTTTTTTTTTATAAATCTAACCCTTTACCTGCCCACAAGAGGGATTCAAAATAATAACTTTTTTTTTTTAGTTAAAGTAAATCATTAAAATTAATTCAGTTCTGGATATTTCAATAGTAGAATCTTTTTAAATATCAAAAATTACTTAGAAATGATTACTATGATTTCTATTTAAGTGTTCTATTACGATAAAAATGCAAAAAATAATGAGTTTTTCTGATAAATTTACAATAAATAATAATTATAAAACTTTCTGACTGCATATTAATCTTAAAAATAACATTGTTTTAATTCTCATCAAATTTTCTATTTATTGATTTATTCTAGTCAACGAAAGAGTAATTTTGGCGAATAACAGAAAAAATTCCCAACCAAATTTTTTTTTTTTTAAAGTAGGAAATTGATGGATTATTCCAAAAGCAACATCAACTCTTATTTCTTTAATTATATCATGATTAGTAGTTCTTTGATTTTAAAATATAATATTTGAATATATACTAATTATAATTATTAAATTTAGTATGAAATTGATATTTAATATTGTAATTTAAACGGAGAAATTATAAAAATAATAAAGAAGTTATATTTTGCTTTACTTTTACGTGTATAAAAATTTAAAGGGCTTGATACAATAATTTTCAATAAAAACTGTTTGTTACTATAAAAAAATGCACTGGACTACAAGGAACTTTCATCAGAAGCAAAAATATACTTTTCTAAATCAAATTTTCGCGTTGTTTTCAAATCTGCAAGTAGACTATTTCTATCACTTCTAATTTTTTATATTATTACTAATTTTATATAAAATAATAATTAAAAGAAAAAAAAATTTGTTTTCAAATTATTACTGATTTGATTTTTAATATGTTAAAAATAATCAGTCCAAATTTTCAATTTTAACCTATTTTTTTGGTTCTTTAAAGTTGATGAAAAATTTTTGATAAAGATTTATGAAAGTTTATAGTAAAATAAATTGAATATATTACCATAACTTTTAGCTCAATTACAAGTTTAAAATTGACATCTAGGCCAGTCAACAAAGGAAAAATTGCGGAAAAAATTTTGTTTTTTTAAAAGTTGAATTAAAATATGTATAATGACATACTAATAGTCCTCAAGATTGGAATTGAGCTTTTTTTTTAAATCCTCGCAAAAGTTCAAAAATATGAGCTTTCTTAATTTTCTCAAAAAAAAATATTTAACTTACAAAAAAAAGTTTCGCACAAAAGTTGTTTAAAAGACAATTATAAATAAAAATATAATCTTATATTTTTTCATTTAAACAAATATTTTTCGAGTTACATTACATTTAATATGAGTAATAAAATTTATATTCCATTTTTTTCATTTTACGGTTACTTTTTATCATGTTATACTTACATTAGACACAATGTTATAAATGCATATGTGTGTATGTGTGAGTTTATTTATTTATTGTATCATTAAAGTGTAGTGTATATTGAGATACAACCGATAGAGTAGGTAATTGATTTGACGCTATATTATTTAAACCCAACTAAACGCTAAATTGTACATTCCGAAACAACAATCATATTATGTCAATTGCCACCGGAATTTCTGGTAATATTTTTCTATTTCTTTGCCTTAATCCCAACTACTTGGAGTCGGCCACCCTTATCCTAAGCTTCCACTTGACACGATCTCTCACATCTTCTACGTTCACATCAGCTGTCCTCAAATCGCATTCAATAGCATCCCTCCATCTCTTTTTTGGTCTTCCTCTATCTCTTCTTCCTTCAACATTCATTTCTATAACTGTTCTTACAGCTTTCGATTCTTCTTTCCTCATAACATGACCAAACCATCTAAGTCTATTATCTGTCATCTTATCCACGATTGACGCAACACCTATACTTCCTCTTATATGCTCGTTCCTTATCCTATCTTCTCTAGTCACTCCACTCATCCAACTAAGCATTCTCATCTCTGCTACACTTATTCTCTGCTCTACTTTCTTATCAACCGCCCAACACTATGAACCATACATCATAGCTGGCCTCACAATTTCATACTAAATTTAAAAACTATAATTAGTATTTATTCATACATTATATTTTAAAATCAAAGAACTACTAATCAGGTTATAATTAAGAAATAAGAGTTGATGTTGCTTTTAAAATATTTCACCAATTTCTCTTAAGGAAACACTATCTACAGATTTGCATCAAAGCGTTTCTTATGATAGTGATTTTAATCACTGTCAGATATCATCTATACTTGTCCCATCTATGCCTCGTCCACACTGTGCCTCAACCCCACTGTGCTACCGTTTTTTNCCTCGTCCACACTGTGCCTCAACCCCACTGCGCTACCGTTTTTTTAAATAAATATTGTTAATTACCGTATCGAGTAGATCCAAAATTTTTGAGAAGTAGTACAAGTAAATTATGAAAATTTTCTGTGAAATTGCAAGAAATATAATATTATTGCACATTATTGAAAAATAGTTAACAACTTACATCGCGGGATGTTTCTGTATTACTATAATCCACTTCTATACAGTTTAATCTATAGGTATCAGGTTTTGACCATATCAATCGAACCGACTAAAAATAGAGTAGATCAGAATTTAACAATAAATTTTAAAGTATCATATCTTAGAAATATACCTCTTTCACTATATACATGGAATAAAAAACTTGAAATATGTTGTAAATCATAACAATTCGATCGATGTCAAAAGGTTTTCTATTTTTCATGTAACTTGGGCCCAATTTTAATACAAATAATAAATAGACAAATATTATGGATATAATAGGCCATATTGATGCATACAACCAGTATTCTTCCATACGACGGTCTAAATATAATGTTTTAATTATAAAAATTCAATTTTGTTAAATGTACGATTTGTTTTTTTGTGTAGTTTTTTTAAACTGCATTCTACTAGCACAATGTTTTGTTACAAAATGCAGTGAAAAAATCTTATCAATATGGTGCAACGAAAAATACTTTATTTAAATTTATATTTTTCAAATGTATTGAATTGAATTTTCATGAACATAAAATAATAAAAGGCGGAGGATATGCTTTTTAAACAGTATTGAACTAGTTAATACATCAAATGTTATTACTAAGGTAAGGAAAATTATGCATACAAATTTTGAAAAACCTACAAATGGTACATTAACAATTAATCAATAATGTTTTTAAAAAGTTTCTTTAAAACATAAAAATGTTTCTAAAGACTGAATTTAAAAATATAATTCACCTAAAAATAATTTTTAGTTCAAAAAAATTTACTAAACATACTTTTTTTTTAATTTGTTAAAAAAATTGAATAAATTTTCAATTATAAGGTACTATGGTTTTGAAATTTTCAGTTAACTTGAGTCTTCGATATCAAAGTTTTAATAAATTCAAAACAAATTAAAATAATGTTTAAATAGGTATCGTTAATGTACCTTAAGTTCACAGTGAGTTCAAACTGTTTATAGTACCTAACCCTTACTAGTCATTCAAATATCTAGAATTCTATTTTAGAAGGTGTAAGAATTATTTGTTAATATTATATTTTAAATTATAGGACATCTTTTTAATTTATAAATAGGCTTCGGAATTTATGTGTTTGTAAAGTTTTTTTTAGTCATACCGAGTACATTTATTTTACGACTAATCACAATGTATATTAAAAAGGTATTTACATATTGGGAAAGTGAAGGTATCTCCATTCCTTGAATAAAAAATGTTTAGGTAATACTGTATATACCCATGATAAATTTTCAAGGAGCTGGATGTTTTGGAAATGGTCTAAAGTTAAGACCATTTAATAATTAATAATTTGACTCAAATTATTATAAATGTATAAAGACCGGAACTCTAATTATAATAAAGAAATCTGTATCATTATAATAGTACAAATTTAAGATGACAAATGATAGATAATAATATAGATTTTTGCTTTGATGCATTGAAGCAAAGATAAGGATGTCTGGAGTTTATAGTAAAAACTTTAATATGACTTTAATATAGCTAATATGTTACAAAAAATGTATAATTAAAATAAGTCCATTTATAATAAAAATCTGTTGTACTATTAAGTTTTATAAATGGAAATATAATAAACAGTTAAAATTTAGAGTGAAGAATGCAATGAGCATGGTAAAAAGATGATTTTAAGATAGTCCATGAATAATCCGTGATATCAGAATAAAAGATTCTAACAAAATTCAAAAATAAATTTATTTCAATAAATAGATTAAAGAATATCTACAAACATTTTAATCACTAAATTAATAATTACATTTATTATATAGTGAGTTAATTTAAATAAAATATTCAAAGTTTAATATAACTGTATGATCATTATATTTTTAAAAATAAACTAAACAATCTATTCTATTAAAACTATTTTAATAGAACTATTTATACTAAATTTATTTTTTGTTAGACCCTTTTTATTCTTATGAGACAAATTGTTGTGATAAGTTTACCAAAGACGGGCGCATGGATAATTCTGACGAGCAGAATGCCTTTCAGATCAAAAACACCTGACAATATTTACAACGTAATATGTGCGCAAATAAAGTGAAAATTTTGTGGGTGCTGAAATTATGTTTCAGTACCAGAAAACCGTGTGTCATTTGCTCCCAGAATCTCGAGTAACATTCCTTAAATAATTACTTTCTAGTACCATAGTAAAAACATAAAAAAATGATTTTTTTTATATGAAACATGTTATGCAGCGTGTCAGACCGGCTATAGGCGTGACGACTCTTTCCATTCGTCTCGGTGGTCCTTTAAATTACTTTAAATTATAGAAGTAATTTTTTTGTGGTAGGGCATTGCTAAAAATTAAAATGAAGTATCTTCTTCTCCTTCTTCTTCTTCCTCGCCTTAATCCCAACTACTTGGGGTCGGCCACCTATCCTAAACTTCCACTTGACACGATCTCCCACATCCTCTACGCTCAGCTGTCCTCATATCGCATTCAATAACATATCTCCAATTCTTTTTTGGTCTTCCTCTACTTGTTCTTCCTTCACATTCATTTCTACAACTATTTTTACGGCTTCCGATTCTTCTCTCCTCATAACATGACCAAACCATCTAAGTCTATTTTCTCTCATCTTATCTACGATTGACGCTACACCTATACTCCCTCTTATATGCTCATTTCTTATCCTATCTTCTTTAGACACTCCACTCAACCATTCATTCATTAGCAGAGATGAGCATTCTCATCTCTGCTACACTCATTCTCTGCTCAACTTTCTTATCAACCGCCCAATATTCTGAACCATACATCATCGATGGTCTCACTACAGTCTTGTAGAATTTACCTTTCTGCCTCATTGAAATTCTTTTATTGCATAAGACACCAGACGCTTCTCTCCACTTCAACCAACCGCACATAATCCTGTGTCTTACATCTTCGTCGATACCACCGCTCTTTTGCACAACTGACCCTAAATACTTAAAAATTTCCACCTCTCCAATCACGTCCTCGCCTATTGTCACTGGTCTCCTTATTTCACCTACCTCTTATTCTCCTTTATTAAACTCGTACTCTATATACTCTGTCTTACTCCTACTTATTCTAAAACCCTTTTCTTCAAGAGCTGATCTCCATACCTCTAGCCTTTGATTAGTTTCCTCCCTATTTTTTCCTATTAACACTATATCGTCAGCAAACAACATACACCACGGCCTTGTATTTCCTCTCATTGTATTTCTCTAGTAATTTCATACATCACTATAGAAAATAAGTAAGGGCTTAAAGCAGAACCCTGATGCACTACTCCTCCCACACTTTTTACCCTAGTACAAGTGCCACCATACATGTCCTCTATTATATAAATGTACCTTTTCGGTACTTCTTTTCTCATTAATGCCCGCTTTAGAACCTCTTTCGTTATTCTATCATATGCTTTCTCCAAATCTATAAATACCATACAAAGCTTTTTATTTTTTTCCCTAAACTTTTCTATTAGTTGCTTCACACAAAATAATGGCTCCATTGTTGACTTACCAGGCATAAATCCAAATTGGTTTTTAGATACCGATGTCTCATTTCTTATTCTCTTATCTATTACCTTTTCCCAAATTTTCATACTATGACTCATAAGCTTTATGCCTCTATAATTTCCACGCTCCTGTATGTCATCTTTACTTTTAAATATCGGCACAAAAATNGCTCCTGTATATCATCTTTACTTTTAAATATCGGCACAAAAATACTATTCCTCCATTCATTTGGTATTTTCCCTTCTAATAAGATTTTATTTAAAAGTTCCTTCGAAAACCTTATGCCAACATCGTCTAATATTTTCCATACTTCTACTGGTTCTACTGTTTTATTCTTTTACATTGATGCCACAGCATCCCATACCTCTTTCTCACTAATTAAATCTACCAATCCCTCGTGACATGAGATATCCTCTAATGTCCTTTTGGGTACTCCTCATTCAGTAATTTTTCAAAATACTCTTTCCACCTTTTTTTCACATCATCATCACTCGAGAGTACCTTATTATCAACACTTTTTATACATTTTATATAATGACAATCTTTAGACCTTATCTCTCTTACCTTTACAAGTCTATAGATATCTTTCTCGCCTTCCTTTGTTTCTAGCCTATCATACAACTCATCATACCTCTTAAAACTTCGCCTTACTTACTGCACACTTGGCTTCTTTGCACAAGCGTTTATACTCCATCCAGTCTTATCTCCTTTTGTTAAAATTGAAATTAAATGTGATTTTTTATATTTAATTTAGATTAGATTCATATAAATTACGTGAAAATCATCAACAAATTTCTACACTATTACCGTCAGAAGCAGCATTGAATATTACTTTTAAAGGAGTAACTGATCAAAAGAATTGAGTCTTCTCAATTATTAAGAATATCTTTTCCCTATAATAAACCATTTTTTCATGCATATTTTTTTATACACAATAGTTCGATGTTTCACATCTGCCAGGCGACTCATAACTACAAAGACGTTTCAAATTATATAAAAAAAATTTTTATTATTTATCTTTATTAATAAATAATAATGAAAATTTGTAATTTGAATTGTGTTTTTTCATGACAGTAGATCTCCCCAATTGGCAAAAATGACCAAAAATACTCTTCATAAGTTCAAATAAAATGAATAGAAACATTTTTCTTATACACTAGACTTAATTACATTTTATTTTCATTTTTTTTCAGACCAATTAAATATAATTAGCTAAAGAGTGTTAACTCTTAAAGTGTAGTCTGTGCGGACACAGTTCAACTTTATAAAGTTTTATTGATATTTTTTGACATTTGCAAATTTAAACACGTTACGAAAATTTCACGATTTGCTTGACGGTTTCTTAGGAAATTAAGTCTACTTTCAAAAAATGTTGTTTATTTAAAATAGTTATAATTTTATTCTACCATGGCTAGAACTCAAATTATTTTTAAGAGGAGGACGTTTTACACAATTTTCTGATTTATTGTTTATTAAAAATATAATAAAAAAAATGTCTAACATGGTTTAACTTGTTTTCAAAATTTAAAAAAACTTGAAATTATTAGTAAAAAACAGCAACTATTTTTAAAATATCTAGAAATTTTATTTATGTGTGTATTAAATACAAAAATATAAATAAGAAAATCTTGGTATATTTTAATTTTAATTTTAAGTGTAAGTTTAACAGAAAGTTCTTGATTTTTATGATTGAAGTAAATGTTTTCTAAACAAAAAATAATTTTACATAATATTAAATGTAATTTTTATAAATTTTGAAAGGGATAATTTTAATTATCATAGGTCAAACCTTCCCAGACCCCTTAAAATCCGACAAAAATATACTTGCAATTACAATACTTACCACCGTTCTCATATAGCCATTTGTTAAAGTGATTGATGCTTTCAAACATTACACACGGCATCTAGAAATAATTTTAAAAATTTTATAAAAAAATTATAAGTTGTAATTCTAAGTTTCATAAAAAAACTTTATTTCTCTTTAATTTCAAACATTGAAAGAAAAAAAAAACCAGAACTCGAGGTATAAATGTTACTCGTTTATAAAAATTAGTCAGTTAAGAATATTGCTTTAACTCTTAACAATATGCTATTTTACTGATCTTAGATAATTTACATAATTACGATAAAAGAAATGTTTTTTTAATTAATACAAATTGATATTTGCATAAATAAATATTAATTCATTAATTCATTATTACCAACACTTAAAAGTAAATACCTTTTTTAATAAATTTTTATTAATAAGTCTATAAAAAGATTAAATTTATTTTTTAGATAATAATTCCTCTTATCGTTCCAAATGAAAATAATATTATGTTTCATCTATTCTATTTACTCGTCTCTTCGTAATATATAATTGTTTATAAAAAATAACACGCTTTGTTACACTAAACTAAAGTTAAGACTTTAAATTTTGAATAACTTATTTTATTACTATACTTCATTTGTTCACTTGAGGTCAGGCTTGGGTTATTATCTGTATAACATTAATATTTTTTTAGGTGTCTTTCATCTATAGTCTGTCGACGATTAGATATAAAAGTATTTATACCTTTGAAAGAAATCAATCAAAAGCTATTGTCAAATAACCATTTACTTAATTGGATTACTTTCTAGCTCTCAAGTTTATTAATTATACAAGATATTCATTAAGTAAAAAAACAAGGATATTATTATGGACTATGTCCACATATTTTTAGAATTTTTCTAGAATATAGCTAAAATATATTTTAGCAGCGAATATTACATTAGTAAAATATATTGAAAGTATGTCAAATAAAAGAGGTATATAAATAGTATTTATCATAAAAAAATTGTATTGATCCATATTTTTAAAAAGTTATAGCATTATAAATTTAAAAAAAAAAACTCAGCACATTGGGGACGTGGGATAGTTGTAATAAGTATAGATGATATCTGATAGTGATTAAAATCACTTTCATAACAGCGCTTCAATGCAAATCTATAGATAATGTTTAATTCTAAGTAATTGGTACATAATTAGAAAAGCAACATCAACTCCTTAATTATATCCTGATTAGTAGTTCTTAGATTTACAAGTATAATTTATGAATAATATTTTTTATAGTAATTAATATAGTAATATAGTATGAAATTAATATTTAATATTTAAAATTGTAACTTATACGGAGAAATAATAAAAAATGATAGTGTAGTATATTTTGTTACTTCTATGATAAACATATATAAAAATTATAGAGCTTGACGAAATACTTTTCAAAAAAAAATTGTTGTTTCTTATAATTAAATACATTGGTGTACAAGGAACTTTCATCGGAATCAAAAATATACTATTCTAAATCAATTTTTCGCACTGTTTTCAAATTAGAAATGAGACATTTTCTAATACTTCTAATGAGAATTTACATATAAAACAACTAGATGCGAGTTGTAATCATTTGACGTATCGTTGAAAAATGTAAATTAAGTGAGAGCTAAGAAAATAAATGACAGCCATAAAAAGAAACCATAAAATAATTTTAATATGAATAAGAAATTTCTTCTCACAAAGGGAGACTTTAGGTGAGGTCCATGATAATCATTAAAGTTATTTTTCTAAATGAGATAAAAATCAAACGAGCTTTGAATTTTTTTGCACCTCAAAAAAATTAACAAAAAAATGCAAAAAAGTTATATCGATGGGCGGTATTTGAATCTCATACCCCGAGCTTGATTGACTGTATTATTATAACCAATATGGCAACCTTACATAATTAGGACAATTTAAGCTAATTCAAAAGTTCAAAGTCGTTTTTCATAATTTAGAAGAGGCAAAATACTCAAAATAAGTTTACATTTATATTGAATAAAATAAGATTCATGTATCTTTTATAAAAATCGATATAATAATTACTACAGCAAACCTTTCTAAGGTATTTTAAATTTAAACACCAAAAAAGTTTGAAAACAAAAATAGCATGTTTTTAACTAAGGCAGCCATTAACACTTAAAACATAAGTCTCAGCATCGCATTAAAGTTAAAAGGTAAAAGTTTCTTTTTGGTATTTTCAATAAAAATGAATACAAATTATTATAGTCACAAAATTGTTAATATCATGAAATAAAGTTTTTCATAATACTAAAAATTCTAACATTTTTACAATGGTTGATATCAAACTTTAATAGTCTTAAAATATCATTTACTTTCTATCCATGGAATATAAATGTGAAATTAAATTTGGATTGTTTAAATATCGTCTATACATTTTATAGAGTGTTACAACTGCAGAAGTACTGAACACCCTGTATTATAATATGTATGTAATAGGACAATTTTAGTGTTAATGCGTGAAAGGTGGTGTTATAGGAAACCCACTCTTTATGAACTAACGTATAGATTAATGGAGAGAGATATGTAACCCTACATCTACATACCTGTAGTCTAGTGTATATTTTTTTTTGTTTACCGAGTGGCCTACTTGATTTCCTATAATTAGAGTTATACGATTCTTAAAATATGATGTGAGGTGCCTTTGTTTTTTTTTGGGTTATTGGTTTGTTTATTTGGTATCGCAAAAAACATATCACATTTTTATGAGTCCTTTACAACAATGATCTTGTCTTCAAAGTATCCGAACCAGCCAGATTCCACTCTTAGTCGAACAGGATAGGATCTTTGACCCTATACAGGGTGTTCAGTAAGTCAGGAAACGGGTTTCTATTGTTCTCATTGTTACAAACAATATATAATATTTGCGCATATATATAAATATTATAGTTAGAATAATTATATTTTTAATGAGTTCTTTAACATATATTTTTGAAAAGATATAATTAAAATATGGTGAGTTTAAATCAAGTAATTTCTTTTAAGGGTTATTATATTGTATGTTAATAATTTATTGTTAAATTGAATCTTGTAACTGAATATCAATTGTAAATACTATTATGTTAATAATTGTTACATAAATCGTTGTCAAAGAGGACATTAAGGTACATATGTGTGATATTTTTGTACACATTATGTTATGTTTTATTTGTGTAACTTGGTTATCAATTTGTGAATTTATATGCTGATCAATTAAATATTTAGTCTTTTCGAACTTATGTGTTATTTTATTTTAATTTATATATCTAAATATTTAATTTTTATATACGATGTATATAGGAGCATCAACTAACTACATTAAAAAAATATGTCATTATACGTCTTATTAGGCACCGGACTCAGTATCGACATATATCTGTCTCTAGAGTGGGGAGCTACACTTAACAAACTCCCTTAAAATCCGTTTTATGTTATCTATTAGCAGTAGAAAATTTCTTCTTAAAAGTTCAATTTTATTTTGATGAACTCTTTTATTTAACTAATAACAAAACTAAAGTAATAAAGTAATTATAAAATAAAATATTAACAATTATTTTATAAATTTGGTGTTAACCACGAGTTAATTTTGATTTTACTACGTTAAAAAATAACGAGATCAAAATAATTAACATTAAATTCTAGATATTTATTTTTATTTAAAATTGAAGTGGTGTCAAGAGCGAATCCACAAGAAATTTTTGTTAAACTAAAAGGAATTTAAAAAAAGAACCTATTTTATAAAATAATTATAATTTTGGGGATAGGGCTTTATTCCTATACTTTCTTGTATCCGTGCCTAATTAGTAGACATCAGACAATTTTTATTACATATTAACTCGGGGAAGAAAAAATGCGTTTTTTTACACCTGTATGTAAATTTCCATAAACGTATTCAAAGTAAATTTTATTCTTTAAAAAATTTTTTTTTAAAAAGTTGTAGGAAATCCGCTACTAATTATTATGATATTTAATAATAATAATTAATGAAGAAATAGTTGACTAAATTTTTAACTTACTCTTCAACTTGTTTATTTGATGTTTGACAAATACTATTAAAATAAGCTAATAATTTAAAATAATTTTACTGTTAGGTTAATTATAACATTTTTTAAGTATAAATTTGAATGGACTACATTTGTAGTTATATGTTTAACTATTTATTGATTTAAATATTTAAATAGCTGAGGTCAAACAGGAAATATTGACATTAAAATTATTAACACTTCTTGACCTATTAAAGTTTCGAAAAAGAATAACAATGTGTTATCTCAAACGTATTTTTTAATTATATTAAATTTAATATAATTTATGTAATATTTACATCTATATCAAATCTAGAGTCGAAGAAAAAATGGCTTGAAAATTGTAATAGTATGTATAGGCTTAATTTTATGTTTATGCGGAAAACTAAAATAATACAGTAGTTACTTCCTGGACTCCTAGAGGATCATTCCGCTAGTAAAACATGGTATGTAGGATGTTTTTACAAAACGCTCTTGTATATTGCCGTAATATACTCGTGACTACCATAACATGGGATATTTATATATTATATTCTTAGAAGGACATAATCCTTTTCAAACAAAAAAAATTAAATAAACGTTTAAGAGAAATAGTGAACAAACGCATACTGTTTAGTTATATTATGATATACACGATTTAATCATAAATCAATTAATAGTCACTTTTAAAATCCTTCCTTCCGAAAAATAATCTATAAGTTATTTTTGTCATATTTTTTATTCTATTTTTAATAATTAAATGCATTGTATCAATCCTAATCTTATGTGTAAAAAATCTATGTTAATGTTATATATAAAATGTAAAAATTATTTATATATACTATTCATCTGTAATAATCTCTGTATTTTATGCTTACTTATCAATAAACAGTTATACCGTAAGAAAAAGATAATGATGATTTTTAGGGGTACAAAGTATTATAAAAAGGCAGAGCAAATTATTATTCTGCTCTGTTCTTATCGTGCTCTAGAAAACGTTACGCGAATATTGAAATCATCATTGTCAAAGTTTTTACGTATTAAAACTGTGAATTAATACGAATTGTGTTATTTTACTTATCAATTATTTATTAATACTATTATTTAAGATATTATAAGAACAAAGAAAAAGTTATCAGTTATGATTTTAAAAATCAGTTCGTGTTCGACTCCTAACAGAACAACACGTGTGTTGCTATCGTGCGAACCCGCCTTTATAGCTATCAATAGCGTGTAAAAGAGTCTACACAACAAATATCACGTATTATGCAATTGTTGCCTACTACAACACACCACGCACTAAAATAAACCAGTTTCACAACTTACTACAACACAAACGGCCGCCGTCGGCTCGAGGTCAATTATTCGTACATCTTATCTACTATCATTATCCCCACTAGCCAACTAAACAACTCAGGTATGAATACAACAAAAAAAAAAAACTGTTTCATCATTAATCTTATCCAAATCAAGATTTTCCCAGTCAAGCGATAAATCACACTTTGAATTTTCGGACAACGAAAATGACTGGCAAACAGTCGATAAAAACAAACGCATCATATCGCCTAATAATCTCTCAACAGATATTCACCAATTTTTCTAAGACTGAAAACATACCCATTGACAGCGCTAATGAACATAGCGTAGAAAATATCATTAACAAAAAAAAGTCTACCTCCACCAATATTCATACAAACGCAAATAAATTACAATTTTGCCTCAAAATGAAAGAACTCACCGACGCATCTAGTTTCTCCTGCAAAAGTTCCACAAAAGGTGTAAAACTGCAAACATTTAGCTTTGATTCATACAGATCAGTTATTAAATTTTTCAAAAGTGAAAACATTTCCTATCTTTCCTACCAGTTTAAAGAAAACAAACCTTTCAGATTTGTCATCCGCAACCTCCACCCTTTAACTGATAAACCTTATATCTCCGACGAACTAACTAATCTAGGGTACCAAGTCAAAAACATAACTAATGTTCTCCACAGATCTTCCAAAAACCGTTGCCCCTTTTCTTCGTTGACCTTGAGCAAGTTGAACTGAATCAAGAAATATTCAAACTCACTTCTCTCTGCTATTTTAAAATAAAAATAGAAGTCCGCCACACCAAAAACGAAATCCCTCAATGCCAATGCTGCCAGTCCTATGGCCACATCCGTAGTTACTGCAACCACAACCCCAAATGTTTTCGCCGTGGTGAAGATCACGACTCCTCTGTTTGTTATGTTTATTACAAAAACCGAAATGAACAGGCCAAATGCTCTCTATGTGCGGCAAACTACGGGGGCTTCATAAAGACCTACTAAAGCACAGAAAATTACATCTTAAGTCAAACATTAAAACCAACAACACACAAAATGTAAATTTAGATGAAATTCACACTGAAAAAATATTAACTACTCAACATTTTACACCCTATCTCATTCTAAAATTACTCAACCTACCACAGCAAAGAATCCATCTAAGTGGACAAAATCGAACCAACCATCAAGAAAATCTTTTCAGATCATTTATCTTCTTTTATTAATGATAAAAAACGCTAATAAATCCACTTGTCTCACTTCTCATCGCTGTCATCGAGAAACTTCTTAAATATGACCGTTTATCAACAAACACACCTACTCACAATCTTGTGGAATACCAATGGAATACTAAACAACATCAACGAAATACAACTAACGCTATACGAAGAAAAAGTGGATATTGTTCGGAAATTAATTTTACTCAAATGTCTTCTCTCAAAATCTTTAGTTACGAAGTGATTAAAGCTGATCAGTACCTTCAGGGTGATCAGCTCTAAGCCCATGGAGGAGTCCTCTACTTATTTCCTATATAATATCTCATTCTCCTATTCTACCATTCACCTTAAGAAAACTACAAAAACGAATTTATAATAATTGATATTATAAACTCGATTCCAATTACTTTCGCTTCTTCTTATCTCCCTCCCGAGTGTCAATTGCCTGAAAATGAATTGTCAACATTCTTACTCACACTCAATCACACTTACATTATCGGGGCTGATTTCAACGCCCAACACTCAACATGGTGCGCGCAGATCAACCAATACAAGAGGCCGTTCACTTTATAGTTATATATCCTCCAAACTCGCTAAAGCACACATCTCTGATCACTTATTACAGACAAGCATCAAGTCCACAATCAATGGTAGCGTACTCAATACCATGAAGATAGACATATATACTGCCGTGCTAAGCGAAAAAAGGATAACACCAGTCAACATGATTTTTCAGGAACGCAAAAAAACATTTTTAACAGTAAATCAAGATAACTTTTTGTCCCAATGTATGAACATAAGTCAAAAGACGATAACTCCATTATTTTTTATGTGATATACCAAGTTTTTGTTTAGTATTTGGATTTACCGTGTTTTCGCTTATAAAACATCAAATATATTGAACTTACCGTATATTTTCTTATTTTATATTTCAATTTTAGATGGGTTTTAATAGGAAATATGCTATTTTTACATAAAAAATCGGCGTAAAACCACTAAATTTACCTATAGAAACAAAAAAAATTTTTTTTTTAATTTTGGAGTTATCCTGTTTTTGCTTAGCACGGCAGTATACAACTCTAACAAATAAACCCAAAAAACTACTCTAGATGCACAAATATGAGCTTTACAAAGCTCACCTCTCATCCCTATCACCAAATAACGGCTCCTTTTGGAAAAAACCAAATCGCTATTAAAACACAAATCAGTCATGCCTCCCCTACAAAGTCAAAACAGCGCCCTAGCCATCAAAAAAAGGTTGAGCTTTGGCTGAACATTTCGCCAATGTTTTCAAGCAGCACTCGATCCTCCCGGACACCAAACAGTTAGATTTAGTAATCCGATTTATCATTTTTCCACTGCCCATGGCCCTATCAGCTAAACACACCACTTCCAAAGAAGTGTCATCAATCATCAAAGAATTCAAGATCAGCAAGTCATTTGGACATGACCTTATTAGTAACAAAATACTCAAAAATCTGCCGCCCAAAACAATATTATTGCTTACATATATTAATAATGCGATATTTCGACTTTCTTTCTTCCCTCCTACTTGAAGACAGCGATCATTATCTCCATCTTAAAACCTGAAAAACCCCCAGAAAAGTCGACGTCTTATAGACCACCAATTAGTCTTTTACCAATCTTCGGTGAAATTATTGAAAAGCTTCTCCTCAACAGACTTCTCTCAATAGTGCAAAGGGAAAATACCTTACCTGAATTTCAGTTCGGTTTCCGACCTAAACATGCCACATTCCATCAACTCCACAGAGTCGTAGATACTATTGCTACAACTTTCGATACCAAAAAATACTGCAATACTAGCTGCCGCCAGATCCGCACAATTGTAGCAAATTTTTACAATCTCACCTTAATATATTATTTAAGTGGTGTGACACCTGGAAAATAAAAATCAACAAAATTAAAATCTACCCACATCACCTTCACCCTTCGTCATAATGACTGTCCTAACATAACTTTCAATAACACCATTATTCCTGAGGAAAGGGAAGCGAAATACCTGGAATTACTATTCGACAGAACGCTCACATGAATTATGCATCATCTTAAAAGTAAACAGAAACAGCTAAATACCCGCCTTCATCTATAAGACCGCTTATTCAATACAACCAGAACATTTTCTATCGTCTACTTCTATAAAAATCCCTCCTCTTACCAATATGTTCATATGGTATTGCGCTCTCAAAACCTTCTAATATAAGGACAATATAGGCGTTCCAGTTTATTTGTCTCCGTATTACAACCAAAGCATCGTGTTACGTCACCAACTCCCTCCATGAAGACCTCAAAGTAGCAACAGTCAAAATGATTGCATCTATATTCTACCAAAAATTACATTCCAAAATGCAATCTCATCCAAACCGTCTAGTCACTCAACTACACTCAAAAATCCAAACAAGCACCTCAAACGCAACATTTCTTTTTATTTTATTAATTTTTAAGTTACGATATTATTCTAAAATGTAAGTGGAACTTCTAAATAGCGAATTGCTAGAGCCACCAATAGCAAAATGGAATGGTCACTGAACTGAACAAAGAGAAGATAACATTTCGGTAGAAGAAACCATAAGAGTTATCAACATCCTAAAAAACTAAGTCTCTAGGATCATATGG